ACATGCTCATGTAGACCCTCCATAGTAGCAGGTTTGTTTTTCAGTGTGGCAGCTTTTAACAATGGGAGACCAACTTAATCACTTTTTGTCCTGTTCCCTTTTGGACCAAATCAGTAAGTGATATCTGGTGCATTTTGTTTCTGTGACGGTTTGTTGTATTGTTTGGCTGTGGGAGGGAGCAGTGTGAGAGAAAACCCCGTCCTGACGCCGTGCAAAGAAGACGTCAGAGATTGTAAACCTGGGTATTTTGAGCCTCTGTAAGTGGCTGCTGCTTGGGGAGAGATACTGTACTCTGCACTTGAAGAAGCTATGAGACAGGAAGTGATGATGGTGACGATGGCGGAGGAAGGAGGGGGGCGGGTGGGCCGAGATGGAACGAGGAGGGGAATTAGTGATTATTATGGAGCTACAGGCCAAGCGATGAAGAAAGGAGGAGGAGGAAGTGGTGATGGGGGGGGCAGGCAAAAAGCATATTATGGGATGTCTATGTTGTCGGCTGGGGGAGGGGGCGTTATGGTCTGGCCTAGGCCTGTTTTTGTGTGCGGTGGCTCCCTCCACACCCCTCCACATGTGCGTCAACAACGCAGCCAGACGTGCACAGACTGTGTATGTCGGGAGAAGTAATATCTATCTGCAAATACAACAAGGTAGTGTGGCTGAGAGAGAAAGAAGTACAAAGGCAGATTGGCGGCGAGAATTAATCAAAAAACTTCTCTCGCAAACTATCTCAGCAGCAGAGCGAGTACAATACACCCCCTGTCCTCTGTAATGTAAATGACTGAGGCAGAGATGGAGCAATACATCTTAATATGCAGGGATTGGCCTTGTTTAGAATCCCAGCTTCTGCAGACTTTCCACTTCAAATTAGCTAATTTAACCTTATCTGGCTGTCAAATCGGTTAATTTAACAGCAGGTAGTTTTGTTAGTTGGTAGAGTACCTTACAAAAGTATTCATACCCTTTGAAACAGTTCAGATTTTGTCATATTACAAACACATTATTCAAAGGCATTTTATATGAAATGGCAAAAAATCTCTCAAAGAAAAGGATAATGATTCCTAGCATTCAAAAATGTTCGCAACCTAAAATCTTCTGATTTGTATTTACATTCAGCCCTGCTCTGATACTCCTAAAAATGCACACAGCCAATTGCCTTCAAAAGTCACTTAATTAGTAGATAAAGTAGAACTGTGTGCAATTTACTGTAAGCATAAAGGTTGCGATTCTATGAAAACCTCAGAGAATTTTAGAAAACAAACAGTATCATGAAGACCCAGAAACCTCCTTCAGATCAGGGAGAAAGCTGTGAAGTCAAAGCAGAGGGTGGATTAAAAAAACATTTTTTTAACGTTTTGAATATCTTACAGAGCAATATTCAATTCATCACCTGCAAATGGAAGAGAGTATGGCACAACTCCAAAGCTGAGCTTTTTAGGCTATTTTCAAAATGTGTGTCACAGAAAACTAACATTTGCGAATCACTCTAAACACACGCTCCCGAAACAAAGAAGCAGGTTAGAGTTGATGTCAAAATGGATGGAGCTACAGTAAATACTGGGGAAAGCCACTAGAAAATCTGTAAGAGGTTGGAAAGGACTTAAACATGCAGCCAAGGTGCAATGGAATTGTGAAGAATGCTACAATTACATTACTGTTTTGTCTTTTTGCTATTTTGCCATATATTCTTTTTTTCTATCTTTGCAATTGATGGTTAAATAGTAGTTATCTTATTGAAGTTGTAATGAGGTTGGAATAGGTGAGGTTATGCTTCGACCCATAGAAGTGCCTGTGCTCCTTCTTGAATATAGCATGCGATTTACTCAGGTGAATGTGATTGAAACGAACCTCAACTTAAACCTAACATATAATTTTGTGTTAGAATGTCCTAGTCAAAGTTGTGAAAATTGCTGTTCACAGAACTTCTTTTACCAATCTGAGAAGTAATAAAGAAATGTGCAGGGTTGGTAGCAGCACATCCCAAAACACCCGCAGCTTTAATTCTGTAAACTGTTTACTCAGGAGGACCACATTGTTTTCAAAAGGTTGTTTCAATATGCTTGATGATTATTGATGGTGCAAAGTTGGAGAAACAACTTTGCACCAAAATTTGATTTTTGCAATCAAATTTTAAAATTTGACTTTATGACTCCTAGAAGACTCAGCAAATGTAAGTTTGGAGTGGTTGTGACCAAAGCAATAACCATCACTAAGGCAACTCCAGCAACATCATCTTACAATATAATCATTTTTCTGTCAATCGTCCAACTTACTACACCTACAACCAAGGGATAACTGGAGAAACAGAAAGACAGCAAGATGAAACAGCCACAGGTCATAATTGGCATGTTGGCAGTGCTGAGTCTTTTGGCACATTCAGACAATCCCAATGTACCCATTTTACTATTTGTTTCTGTTTTCTCCGTCTGTCTTTCTCCTAGTGAAGCATGCTATCTGATGCGCCAGACATGTTGGGGCTTATCAAATCTATTTGCACTTTTTTGTGGCTTCAGAGCGTGGGCTGCAGGGGAGGATAGGTGGAGCAGAGACACAGCGAGGGTCAGGCTGGTGGGGCAGTCAAGAAATATAATGGCATGCATTTTGAGTTACATGGTAATCTGACCCTGCCTGTGACTCTCCTCCCTCTGCCACCGCTGCCACCCCTATGCTTATCTCCATGGCAACTAGAAGCACAGGAGCACTATTATGGTCTGTAGTCTCCCTCCCCTCCACCTCTTCCCTTTTTCTCTTTTTGCCTCAGAAACGATATTATTATCATTATGAGATATGCAATTCTGAAAGCAAAGAGGCAGGGGGAGGGGACGGGTATCAAGAGGTATGCGCAAGGTTTCTATGACAACTACCCCTGGTATTCTTCTGATTGGTGATTATGGGATGTTACCCTCCACCCCACCAGCACCCAGCCCCACCCACCCTACCCCCATTTCTTTCCAAATTCAACCATGAACACTTTGTCTATAGTCAAGAAAATGAGACATGTGGGGGAGGAGGTAGGCTGATAAGCAAGGGCTACAAAAAAAACAGTTGGTCAAAGAAAAGAAAATGTGAAAAGTTATTTTGAAATATTTTTCTGTCATTTGTGTTTAGGTGAAAGAAAAGAAGGATGAGGACAAAGGAAGCGACAGACTCCAGATGAAGGTTTGCTGAGTCAGGATGCTGAGGATGAGCAAAAAATAGTGGAAGACCTGCAACAACAACCAGGGCAGATAGCTTGGTGAGGGTTAAAGGTCAATGGATACCTCTAGATAGTAAAACAGGCTCATTGTCATACAAATGTTTTGGGGGGAAACTAGATAGTAACAACTGAGTGGATTGTGACTTCATGATTAATTCTGCTCAAGCATCAACCAGTTTTTTTCTGTAAAATAAACCTGCTTTTCTACTTCAACAGATTAAAGTGTAATATAACAACAAACATGGATTGTCCTGCTTAGGGTTTTGGTCTAAAGTGGTATATCATGATTCGATAGACTTAAAGAAGAGGTCTTTCAGTTTGTGAAGTGAGTCTTTAGCTTAAAAGATGTGGAATCAGCTGCAAATCTTTTTACTTCATGTGCTTCATCCAGTCACTCTTCTGCTTATCCGAGATCAGATTACAGGACTAGGATGGAAACCGGGACATGCCTCTCCCTAGTGGCACTCTACATCTCATTTTGGAGAACCCAAAGTATTCCCAGGCTAGAAGGGAATTATGGTCCCTCCTCCAAATTGTGGGTCAGCTCTAGTGTCTATAGAAAACCTTTAAAGCGATGTCCATATGAGACATCCTTATCAGATGGCTAAACCCTCTGTTGACTCTTTTCAATGTAGAGGAGCAGCCGCAGCAGCAGCTCCAAAGTCTTTACCCTATCGCTAATGGAGAGCCCAGGCACCCAATGAAAGGATGAGATCTCACTCTGTTGGGCATAATCCATATCTCATGACCATACACAAATGTCGGAAAACAAAAGGAACAGTAATTTACAACTTTCAGCTATCAGACCACAGTAATGACCACATTATGGCAGACAAGGCCTCAATCTGTCTTTTCCACCCACTCCATCATACTGTCTAAACGGGGGCCATAAACGGGGCCAACTACTGTCCCATCTACTTCACACTTGGCTGCTAACCGTTGCAGTGTGCACTTAAGATCATGGTTTAAAAAATACCTACAGAACTACATCCAAGCAAAGATCATACCCCAAATGTTCCAAATCAGAAAATTGGCTTGTATTATTAGTAAATACCATAATGTTTCAAGCTGCAAATCAGTGATTTACCAACTTAATCCCTTTCTGGGTGGTCCCTGGTCAGATCTATGAGTGAGAGGTGACTTGCACCCTGGACAGGTCTCAAGTACTTCATGGACTGAACACAGAGACACTTTGTCCTAGACCTGGCATCAAAATGCATGCTGGCTGATTCAGACAAAAGTAGACCTTGCTTAGTCAGACCATTCACACCTGGCATTAAAATCTGTCCTGAATGATTAGATCTCAGTTACCTGCCTTACATGCAAATAAACATATACCCATCTCACATAATGGGCTGTCAGTTGATCTACTACACATGGATGTGTTTTTGTAACACCACAGGTATATTAAATAATTTTAGCATTATCATAGTGGAAGCTTATCTGAGAGACTTGTAGACTTTTGTGGGCGGGAAACCTCTTGATGAGCATAATTATATTGTGAAAAAAATGTTAAGAAAAGGGAGAAAAATGAGTAGCTTTCAAGAACTAAGAATCAGTAAACAAATACACTATACACATTTTAATTTTTTTCATTAAAATGTGTTGGAACCCTGGTTAATGTGCTCAGAGCATTGCATCATTACACAACTAAATATGTGGCACAATGCTTTTCCATACTTTGTTCAAAAAGCTTTAAGAATAGACAGAATAACATCAAACTACAGAGAAAAAGGAAATTCACTTCTACGGAGTTCTTTAATTTATTGATCTGTTTAATCCTAAATTAAATAAAGTGCGATGTCACATATATATATATATATATGACCATGGACAGACACAAGAGTTGGACATCACCAAAACTTTTAAACTTGGTTGAACTGTTAAAGCATAAAGGGGATAGTTCTTAAAATTTCCCTCTATGGAACTGAATAAAGCACTAAATAATCTAACATTTTGCAAAGGCAATATCAAATAGAAGATTTTGAGAGTAATTTTGAACTGTCTATCATCAAAAAAGTCGTAATCTCCATTGATATAGTACCGTTAGCACTATATATCAATGGTCAACTCATCATTTTCAACTGTGTTGCAAAAACTCCAAGAGAAAACATTTCAAACATTGCACATCCTTTCAGTTTTCATAAGACTCCAAGAGCTAGGAGAACTGTTCAGTAGGCTACACTAGTGTCTATAGGGTTCCTGCACATGGCTGCAAACAATGCCCTTCACGTTTGTTCTGTTATCTTTTAGACAATTGAAACACCATCTGCAGAGCAAACTTGTCCCAGAGTCCAACAATAACAGTGCATAACTAATTCTGGTCCTCCCCAGGGCCAAAAGGCAGCTTCCCATTAGCAGTCATATACACAACTAATTCCCCATGTGTCGAGCCATCATCCTGAAGCATCTCTGCCATGCTTAGCACAGGGAATTCTGCATTTTGCCCCTCAGTCTAAATGTATTGCACTCAGTCAACGGTGGGAAAAAAGCTGTCTAGGACCCAGACGTTTTTCCCACCATTGACTGCAATGCATTTCATTGCAGCCTGTGGAGCAAGCCAGCATGTGTATGCGTGCAGACAGCTTAACTCAGCTGTTGACTTGGCCCTTGCACTTCTGGGCTTTCTCCAAAGAGTATTGAGGGATACTTCCAGCTGCAGACATAAAGGTTTTGACTGCAGCTTCACCCGTGACCTCCAACTGATGCCCCAACTGGATGGACGAGGCCGGCTTTTTAATTTCGCACCAACCTACTCACAAAGTTTTTACTGCCAAGTTTCCTGGCATTTGTCTGCAGACTTAGCCATACAGTTGCCGTCATGCTGAGTAAGGTATGCTTGAGCTCATAAGGCCGCATTTTGGGGTTACATTGGGGTCACCCCCACATTTTGTGGCCCCCCAAGTTTTCTAATGGTGGGTACCAGGTTTGCATCGCTTCTGCACCCGGTGTGCAATCTTTAGGAGCCACGCTCATACCCATAAGTCTGCGCATACATGCAAACATGCACTCTCAAGTTGAGCAGTCATGTGGCACACACAGTTGCCATGTGAGCGCATTTTCCTTTCCCCCCCCTCCTTTCTCCTATCTCTCTCTTTTTGGAGTTATGCTTATTGTGGGATGTCAGTGACTGCGCTCATTACTATTATGGGATGCCACACAGGAGAGGGCGGGGGTGAGCGTTTCCATAGTGATCGTGGTTGCTAAGAGGGGTGGAGGTGTGTGTGTGGGGGGGTGATGTGCATAGAGGAATGGGGAAGAGACTGTAGAAGAGGGAGGGGGTGAGTTGACTATTATGGTCTGTACGTTGCAAGGTAACTATGCAGAGTGGGGGAGGGGTGAGTGAAATGTGCGCGTATATGTATGAGTGTGCATGTGTGTGCGGGGAATATTATGGGATGCCTGCCCCCTGATCTCTTTGTGTGTGTGCGCGCGAGGAAGAGAAAGAGGAGACGGCGTCGTGCGCACACGCTGCCACCAAAAATACGGAAATATATTTAAATTATATATACACCGCTACCATCTGGAATAAAAAAAAGCATCCAAGTGGTCAATCAGTTGCAAACTGAGCGTGGAGTTACTGTTTTTTGGAAGCTTGAAGTTGTGAGTATGTCAGTTTCTGAGTCTGTGAATTGACTTGATTGAGGGTGAAGTAGGCTCGGGTTGTCACACAAGGGGATTTTCAGGGTATATATCAGTATGTGAAGCGGATCGGTTCTGTTTCGAGTTTTAAATCTGACCAACCGGTTTAGCTCCGGCTAGCACGCATGCTAATGGGACGGATAGTAACCATAGTAAGCTGAACGCAGAGATGGAGTGAAGGGAGGAGATATAAATATGTGAACTTCGCAGGCGGATAAAGTTGGGTTTATTGTCCCATGTGCTGAGTGTTGATGTCCTTCTATGTTTTACCGGGTGCTTGTTAGTCCTGATATTTAACTTCCGCTTTCTTTTATGCTCTTATTTTCTGCCCTGTTAAACCTGGCCCGGCTACGATTTGGACAGACTTCACACTGGGTCCGAACTCTGGATTATCCACCAACAATAACTTTCATTTAGTTAGCTAAACTATTGGCTAACTCAACAGAAGAAAGTTTCCTGCTGTCCGCTATGTCTGGAAGTGAAGATGACAGAGACGATTATGGAGCCGCCGACGACCGCCTAATGCAAGGTAAGATGAGGCTCATTTGTTAGCCGCTAATGTTCACGCTGCTTGTGTGTTTTTGACGTTCGCATCAATCATGCTGCGTTAGCTTAGTGCTAGCTCGTTCATGCTGCTAACTACTGCGTAGCTTCCATTAGCAAACAGGGAGACAAACATGTTTTAAAGAACTCAAATTGTTTTACCCCAACCATAGTCGGAGGTTGTAAAGCTGATGGATGCACTGTTGTGCTGTCACGCTGAAAAACCGGCATGTTCCCGGGGCCTAACATTAGCCAGCTACCGGTATTTTTTACGTGTCGATGACAAGATGGAGGCAGCCAGTTAGCTTGGAAGCTGGTGGATGACGTTCGGTAGCGCTCCCCTCCTCGTAGCCGGCGCCTTCAGTTTGACTGTGGAAGGAAAAGTACGAATAATAACAGACATAAATCCACTTTTTCCATATATTTAGCACAAATTACTCGATCTATCTTATACTTTGCTTGTGCCGTGCGTTGTTTACGGCTGGATTTCAGCAAGCAGCCGCAGCATACACAGCGGAACCTTAGAGAACAAATAGTCTCTTCGATCAGCTTCAACTGGTGAAGTCATCAACACGATTGTTCTCCATTCAGCGGATAACACGTTTTATTATGAAATCATATGATAGTGGATTATGAAACTAAAGCTAATGCGGAAATAAATCATTTGTGTTTATATTCTTGCTTGTAAGAAAGAGTCTGTAGTAGTAGTAGAGAAATTCAAGGCATCTGATTGGCCTCTGGCCGGTAGGGATGGACCGATTAGACTTTTACCTACCTATACCGATTTCCATTTTTCCTTGGAGTCTGACTTGTAGATTTTAGTTTTGATCAATTTTGCTTTTGTAAATACTATGATGTATAAGAAGGATGGGTGTGTACTAGGACAACTAGTTTTATCCACATACAGGCATTAAAACTAATGTTTCTAATAAAATGCCGTCAAACTGATCCCAACATAGTTAAAGTTTATAGTTTTGATGCAGTTGTGATAATAACAATGAAAATTTGCTTGTTCCATCCTGAGTTCACACCATGGTAAAATCTTAATTATTTGTATCTTTAACATCTTTAATTATTTGTATAGTATTTTTAGAAATATTTTTTGAAGTATTTTAGAAATATCCTGTCTCCAGTTATGTAGGTCCTGATCCCAGTCTGGACTAGTTCATTTTCTTATTTTTTGCAAATTTAGGTTATCAACCTTCCCCTGGTAGATATTATTCACAGAAATAATAAGTCAACGGTTCTCTATGATATAAGTTAATATTTTTAAATTGTTGTCAAAGCAGGTTGGAGTTCTTGTAGCACACTTCTTCTAAATCTGTGTTGCCTCTTGTGTTCTTCCCATGCATTGTTTGTCTAGGCAGTGAGGCGTCCTTCCACCAACTAAAATCATGTATGGTTAATCTGTGATTGTAAATTGCGCTGAGGTGTAAATTTTTGCACCCCTACGATCCTCTATAGGATTAAGTAAATATAGAAAACGGGTTGGTGAGTTAATATGTAACTTTTGTAATCAGTTTTGGGGTCAATTGTTTAGGTTTCTGAATGTTGGGTAATACTTAAACATCTAAAGTGCTTGAATTTTCCCAAAATAGTAGACATTCAAAAAGCATTTTTAAAATGTATGTATCGTTTAAACTTTATGCATCAGTCTATTTGCTGCCAGATGTTGAGCAAATGTCCGGAGTCATAAATCAGGCCTCTAATTCCATTGATCCAATCAAAAAAAGGAAAACATCTTGTTAAACGTTTTTAACAGTAGCTTCTCGTTTATTTTAAAATTACTGCTTTTTTCCACTCTAAGGACATTGAAAAGAGGACATTGACTTAGAATGCTAGTTTATCTTCTGATTTACCTGCTGTAAATTCATCTGTTTATACTACAGTAATCTGCTTTCATGGTTAAATAGATGAACGACTGGACTTTCCTGGGTGGAAACTTTCTCCAAAGCGGCTAATTACAGCCATTAGAAGATTAGATATTTTACCCGATAAGGCTCATTCAAATGCAGTTAATTGCTCACGTGTAGCAGTTCACCTTACACCTGCTTGTATTTTCTCTCCACAAGATAAAAACTGCCATTTACCACCATATTGGTTGTTTCAGTAAGCAGTTGCAGCTAACCTGTGCACAGTTTTCATCAGATGGTTCACAGATATGCATTCTGTCTTCAGAGCCCACTGTTGAATAACGATCACGCAGCCTGAATGTGCTGACACGCTGTTTGTGGGCGTGCATCCTAACCGTGGCGTGTGTCCACTGGCCTGATTTGCAGATGATGAGGAAGAGGAGATCTCGGAGAATGAGTCTCCGAAGGTGAAGAAGAAGAAGAAAAAGGCCAAGAAGAGCCGGGAGAGCAAGGGCAGCAAGAGGCGGTCGCGCAGAGAGGTAAGCAGCCACAGTTACATTTTACTGTGAGGTTGTTGACTCCACATATTTTCCTGGGTTTTCTGAGTCCTGTCTGTTTCCTTCTTGTCCCAGGAGTTGACGATCAGCTCCCCAGAGCCCATGGACATGGGTGGAGTGGAAGACGTAGAGGATACGGGCTCGGCCCAGCGCTCCGAGAGCGAGGGCAGCGACTACACTCCAGGACGCAAGAAGAAGAAGAAAGCCAGCGGTGGCAAAGAGAAGAAGAG